AACACGGGGCACGGAGCTGTGTTATCTGAAGGGAGAGACCCAAGGGGCTCGGTTTGCCTCCCCCGCGGAGGGGAGCGGGGCAAACCAGCACCATCTCCTGCGCATGATGCACGGGCTGGGCTGGCTCTGCAGCCGCGGCGGGGATGGAGCCGGGTCTCGCTCACCCGAGCCAGCCCTCTGGAAGAAAACGACAGAAAGTAGTAACAAAGGATGCTCGGCGGGGCCGGTAAAAGGGGGAGGAGGAGGAGGAGGAGGAGGGGCTGTGCCTGGACAGGGACTGAGCGGGGCCTCCGGCGCAGGCAGAGCGACCCAGAAAGGAAATTGCTGCGCTTGCGGTCGAGCCGACAGCAGCTCTGCGGTGAGAGCTCCGAGCGGAGCCGAGCCCAGCTCGCTCCCGCGGGCCGGCAGCCGGTGCTGGGCCCCAGGGGATGAGGGGACCCGGCCCCGGCACTGCTCCCGGCGCAAGGAACCCTTTCCCACATGGGGCAGGCACATGGAGGGGAGCAGAGCCAAGGCAGGGCGGAAGAGGCAGTGAGGGAGGGTTACACCAGGGCTGAGATCTAAACCCCGCTTTGGCAGCTGCGGCACAAAGGCAGGACTGAGGTTGCTGGCGATGCTGGCGGGGAGTGGGATGATGCTCGCAGGCAGAACACGTGGGCAGCTTTGGGGGATGAAGCTGGAGATGAGGGCATGGGCACAGCAGCACCGATGTCCTCAGGAGCTGAGAGGAGCCTTTAGCTGTGCCAAGCAGCCACACGCACACCATGAGCAGTGCTGGCTGCTGCATCCCGCATCCCGGGGCTCAAAACTGCCAGCAGCTCTTGGGGCACAGCAGGAAGGGAGATGTTGTGGCAGCCAAACCCCTTCAAGCACCAGCAGTGCCCTGGGCACGGCCGGGGCCTGGCTGCAGAGGGGAGGGTGGGAGCTGGTCAAGGGGATCCCTCACTCCTCCCGTCCCCATCCTCCCCTAGCTCTCCCTCCAGCGCTCCAGCAGCTTCAAGGACTTTGCCAAGGCCAAAGTCAGCTCTCCTGTGCTGAGCGAGAACGAGTTCAACCTGGAGGAGAAGGTGAGTCCCTTGCCACGTTCCATTCCCGCCAGGCACAGCCCTGCTCACAGCATCCTACCCCAAAATCCAGGTCCTGCCAGTGACCCCCATGCCATGCAGCAGCCCCAGGGCTTCCAGCACTGGCAGGATTTGGGGTGTTTCAGCCCTCTGTGACCCATCTGAGTTTCACCTGGGGCAGGGACGGGGGCAAGGGCTCTGCCTTCACTCTCCATCCGCCTGCCAGATCCCCAGGGATGAGTCCAGCAGTGCCAGCGCCAATGATGCTGCACGGAGCAGCGGGATGAAGCTGAGCAAGAAGTGGCGAGCCGTCATCTCCCGCACCATGAACCGCAAGATGGGCAGGATGGCCGCGAAGGCACTGGCTGAGGGGAAGGTGAGCGGGGCCCCGGGCGGGGGTGCAGCTCCTCCTGCCTTGACCTGAGCCTGGTCCCCCCCAGCAGGGAGATGTGGAGGAGGAGGAGGAGGGGCCCCTGTGCCCCCTGTCCCCAGCCAGCAGCACAGAGGAGCCAAGCCATGACAAGGTGCCGGTGCCATTCCTGGAGACGGAGGAGGATGAGCAGCCGCCCCTCAGCAGTGAGCCTGGCTCTAGTGCAGCACCGGCTGGGCACAGCCTTGGCCCCCGCCACTCCACGGGCAGCGAGGGGTCCGGCCCCAGGAGCCGGCAGCAGGACAGCCCTGGCACAGCCTACACCGGCCCCTTCTGCGGCCGGGCCCGCGTCCACACTGACTTCACACCCAGCCCCTACGACAGGGACTCACTCAAGTTGCGGGTGAGCGGCCCCAGGGTGGGAGCTGGAGGGCAGGGGTAGGGACCCCCTGAGGGAGGATGCGCTCCAGCCATCTGCAACCTGCGCCCACCCTCATGCCCACTTCCCCCTGCACAGAAAGGGGACATCATCGGCATCATCGAGAAGCCGCCCGTGGGCACCTGGACCGGGCTGCTCAACAACAGGGTGGGCTCCTTCAAGTTCATCTATGTGGATGTCATCCCCGAGGAGGCAGCTCCCGCCCGCAAGAGCCGGAGCCCTGGCCAGAGCAAGCGGCTCAAGCCCAAGACGCTACCTGAGCTGCTGGAGCGCATCAACCTGCAGGTAAGGGACAGGGGCCGCAGGGCTGCAGCAGGATCATGCTCCCCTCTGCTCCTGAGAAGCCCTTCACTGTCCCCACATCCCCGCGGGTCCCTGACCCTGTGTCCAAGCACCACTGGGGCACACACACAGGGATGCTCTGGCTGGTGCTCGGGCAAGTGCCGCAGTGGTCCTGTGCCAAGCAGGAGTCGTGTGGGCAGCATCAAGGGCCAGGCAGAGCGAGCCGTGAGCCAGAGTGAGCTGGGAGCTGTGCCCCACTCAGCCCATGCTGTGCTGCCACAGGAGCACACCTCCACCCTGCTGCTGAACGGGTACCAGACCCTGGAGGACTTCAAGGAGCTGCGGGAGACCCACCTCAACGAGCTGAACATCACGGACCCCCAGCACCGCGCCAAGCTGCTCACGGCTGCAGACCTCCTCCTGGATTACGACAGTAAGAGCCGAGGGAAGGGGCAGAAGGCACCCCAGTGCCAGGCAGCCCCAGCAGCACCGGCCCTGCCCTAACACTGTCCCATCTCCCAGCAGGCAGTGAGCCAGAGGAAGGCAACAGCTCCGAGGCCCGGCCGTCACCCTCGGAGCCCAAAGAGGACATTCCCCGGGACTCGGGCTGCTTCGAGGGATCCGAGGCCCTGGACGGGAGCCGGGATGAGGCCGAGCTGGGGGGTCCCGAGGGGCAGCTGCAGGCTCTGTCCCTGGCAGAGTCCCCCTGAGCCCACAGCACAGCCCCGGCTGCTCAGGGGGAAGCAATGGGACCCCATGGCAGGGCTGCAGGCAGCTCAGCCCTTGGCCCCAAGGCTGCCCCATTCGCTGCCCCCAGGACATTCTGCCCCGGCGTGTTGGCTCACAGCTCCTGGAGCCGGATGAGCCTGCAGGAGCCGGTGAGGGCAGGGGAGTCCCAGGGCAGCAACCCCAGCACTGAGCAGCCACATGTGAGGGCACGAGGGTCCCACTGAGCCCGGCTCTGTGCCGGCAGCTCCATGCCCTCCTCGCAGAGCCAGGGCAGGGTTTGCTGGGAGGTCTGGGCTGCACGGAGAGATTCAGCAGAGCTGAAAGCAGCCTGGCAAGGGCACTGCACCCCCTCCATCGGCTCCAGGGGAGCCCTGACTGCAGCTTGCAACCCCAGCCCTCCAAGCAGGCCCAGGGGAGACACAGGAGGGAGCTGGGGGGACCATGAGCACCCTGGAGAGCCCCTTCCAGAGTGCCAGATCCCTCCAAGCAGCCCCGGGCAGGGGCACGGGACCTGCAGCCCAGTCAGGGCCCCCATGCGCAGGCAGGGGCAGGTAAGGGCAGCAGGAGCAGGAAGGGGCTGGCATCCATAAGGGAGCGTGGGGCAGCCTGCAGCACTCACCAGGCTGTGCTCAGCTCAGGGGCCGACCCCAGGCCTCTCAGCCCAGCTCTTGCTGCTGCACATGAGAAACTCCAGCTCCAGCACTTCATTCCAATAAAAGCATGCAAGTCCCTTTTACTCCAGCCTTCAGCTTAATAGCGGGCAGGAAGGCTGGGGCTGGGGAATGGGGCAGCGTCCGCAGGTAACATAGAGCTGGCGAGGGTGCTCCCTGGGCTGTGTCACCTGTGCACTGAGCCCCCTCACCTGCCATGGGGGACAGCAGGATGCAAACAAGGCAACATGGATAAAACACCCTGGAAGTGCAAGATGTAGAGGCTGGAAAGGGAAGGGGGAAGCAGCGGGCTCGGGGAGGCACAAAGAGGCAGAGGCTGCAGCTTGGCCAGTTTTCAAACCAGTTAGTTTTTCTTCATTGTTTTCAAATTAAAAAAAGAAGAAACCAAACCAGAGCAAGCCCAGCCCTCACCCAGCCCCGTGCCCTTCCCAGCTGGAGCGGGTACAACCCCGGGTGCAGGCAGTGCCAGCACCCAGCCTTTCAACCCCAACCCTGCACCTCTCCACAGCGAGCTCGGGGCTGGGGCGGCAGCAGGGGAGAGGAGGGGGCAGCTCCCGTGGCTGGGGTGCGCGGGGGGCAGCAGCTGCGAGCGGGGAGCCAGCAACAGGGAGCTGCTGAATGCACCACCAGAGCCCCCGGAGCAGCTCTGCCCTCGGCAGGGGGAGGAGGCCCTGGTGTGAAGGGAGAGCGGGCAGCGCTGATCACTCCATCCACACCACTTCATCCGCTGCCAGGCACGGCCAGGCCAGCACCGCGAGGGGTGCCAGTCACACAGCTCACTCCGGAGGGACCCGGCTCCCCTCATCCCCTGCTGCCACTGCTGAAAGCAGGTCAGAATAGAGGGCAGGGAAGGAGGAGCAGCAGCTTCATGCTGCCAGGGAGGAACACCCCAGGGGCTCAGCACATGCCCGCAGGAGGCAGACATGCCCAGAGCTGCCAGGGCACCAAGGGCACTCCCTCCATCACCATGGACCCCACAGCCCTGAGGCGCTTCCCAGCCCGGCTGCCCAGCACAGAACAGGATTGTCGGGGGGGAAGAGGAGCCCTGGCAGGGCTCCTGCTGCTGCCCAGCCCCGGCCTCTGCTCCCTCCAACACTAGCTGAGGATGGCTGAGGAACACAGGGCAAGGCGGTAGGGACACAGGGACACGACATGACACAGAATCAGGGCTGAGGTTCTGCAGAGCAGCAGCTACAGCCTGGCCTGCAAGGGGAGGGCACTCTGCACCCAGCAGCAATGGCAGCCCTGGCACCAGGCAGGGAGCCAGCAGCCAGGCAGAGCCTCCTGCAGCAGGTGTTACCAACCGCTCTGCGGCCAGACACATGCAGGAAGATGGGGCTGCCACACTCATCCTGTGAGCCTCTGGCTGGGGGTGATCCCCAGGGAAGGACAGGAAGGGGGCCCCTGCCCACTACCACTGCGCTCACACCAGCTTAAGTCACACGGAAAGGAGCATGGGAAGGAAGCTACTTCAAAATCACTGCCAGCAGAACACCTTCCCAGTTACCTTGGCCCTTTTGGCACCAAACTGTCTCCTGACAACCCTTGTCACGTTAACCAACAAAACAATGCCACAGAATAGAGGAAGAAGGGAGGAGGGGAGAGAGGATGCTACTGCCATGACTTGCTTTCCCCTTCCCACCAGGATTCCTCAGCAGTAGGGAGCAGGCCGACCCTAACGTCGCTTCCGAGCTGCTTGACCACGAGCCATCTCGTCAGGTGGAGGGACAGCCAGTATTTAGCCTCAGGACAACCTGCAGAGCAAGAGGTCCTGCCCCGGCCTGCAGCTGCCTGGCCCCGTGGGGACGGCGACTCCCACTCTGGATACTCTGCCACCGCGCGAGGCCAGAGCCACGAATAAAGACTACAGCAAAGCGGCCATGAGGAATTGTTTGCCTGGCATCCAGCCCATCTCCTCCTCTCCTCCATCACCTCCAGCTTCGATTAGACAAAACAAGAAAGTTCTCCCCTTCAAGCAGATGCTAGTGCTCTGCTTGCCCAGCGTCCTGGGGTGGGACTGGGAGCTCCCCAGAAGTCAGCTGCTTCTCCTCTGGCATCTCGGCACGGCTCAGGGGTGGCGCAGGGACCTGCAGAGAGAAGACAGCAGTGACTTGCATGAACACACCCCCATGCAGAGCATCTGTCTGAGCACCCAGACACGGCTCTGCTGCTTCTGCTGCACCAGGCAGAGGTCTCAGCTGTGCCTGGGGAAAGGAGAAAACAGGGATCACCAAACAGGCAAAACAGCAGCTTCACGGAGATCTGGGGCACTAGAATGCTCTACCAGAAGTGGTCCAGACTGCTTCTACCAGAGAAACAGCAGCTCATGCCCATGCAGGAGTAGGCCCAGTCATTTCCCATTGTGTTAATGGAATAATAAAGAGTGGGAAGGGACTCTGGAGGTCTCCTGTCCAGCCCTACCCTTAAAGCAGGGCTAATGCCAAAGAGCAGGCTGCTCAAGGCCACAGCCTGTGGGGCAACGGCTTTCTCCAAGGATGGAGATCCCAGGCCTGTCAGATCCCTTCCTGGGGACAGCCCTTCAGCTTCCACCGAGTACCAAAACAAGATGCCTGCAGCCTCCCAGCCCTGCTCAACCCCTCCCAGCCTCCATGGGTACCAGCTCCCGGATGCTCTCATGGCAGGATTGACGTCTCCAAAACCGCAGCCTGTGATTTCCTTTGAGTACATCAAGAGCGGCTGCTTTCCCACCCAGAGCACAACAGCTTTCCGTGGGCAGCCTCCCCACAATGCCCCAAGTGTTGCTTTGCTCCTGCCGAGTCACACCACCAGCTTCTCCCTGCTGGCCCGCACCAGCAGCAGCAGTGGCCCACTCACCCTGCGCACAGAGGCCTCGCTCCCAGCATTGGCGTGCGGAAGGCTCCCATCCTCCCGCGGCACCCCGCTCCCCTCCATCTGTTCCCCGGTGCCTGGAGCAGCGCTGGGCCCCCGTGGGCACGACTCCACCTGTGCCGTGCTCTCCTCCTGCTGCAGGATGCCCCGTCTGTCCAGGACGCTGCAAGGACACAACCACCCCATCAGACCCGCGCCTGCCCTGGAGCAGGCTTCTCCTGCAGGAAAAGTGCTGGTGGAAAACAGACGTCAGGGGAAGGGACCCTCTCCAAAACAGTCTGTGCACAGAGTAGGCTTGGGCTATGCTCCTCCCGTGAAAACCAAGCCTCCTGGAGAGCAGCCCAGCTCTGAGTGTGGGACCACCAAAATGAGTGTCCTGGAAAGAGCCTTCACATCACATGCTGCCCCAGCAAAGGGCAGCCACTCCTCCACGGGCTTCCCAAGCACATGGTGATGGGAAGCACATCACAAGCTTGAATCATGGAAGATATGCAAGGAAGGTAACACAAGACCTTCCTCCCCAGAGCATCCAGCTATGTCCCAGCAGATCTCTAGAAGCTCACAACACACAGTGCTGGCAGAAGAGCCAAGTCTTGTACCTAAGCAAAGAGAGCTCCTCACAGTCCCACGCTGGGCTCTGGGGGTAAAAATGGCAGGGCTGCCCTTTGAGAGCTTACCTGGGGGGCAGGGGCCCACAGAGCACCTCACAGCAGTTCTTCACTATGTTGCCGTGGCTGTAGGGATTCTGCACACGGTTCTTCCCAGTCCAGGACCCCTTGATCTGCAATAGTCAGGGCACAAGCTCAGGTTTGCTCCACCAGCACCAGCCCCCAGCCAGGGAGCCCAGCCTCAGGTTGCGGGGCACGTCAGCAAAGGGGGCACAGGCATGACACGCCAAGGAAGTGATGAGAGACAGAGGGCTCAGAGGAACAGACAGACTCTACTTACGTCTTCATTGGTTGTCTGATTCAGTGCCACCAGGAAGGTGTGGAATCCAGTTAACCCCACCACCGACCACAGGGTGAAGAAACAGATGAGCACCTCCAGTACAGTGAAGACAGTTAAGGACTGGGAACAGCCTGGGAACAGTCGCAGCCCCAGCCCCAGCCCAGCTGTGTCGCTACCCACGATGCACACAACCCTAACTCTCCTTTTCTTCTCCTAGATATGGTTTTCTGTTTTACACTCCTCCCAAGAGCCACAAAATCGCTCCTCACCTTGTACTCATGGGGGAAAATGCCCTGAAAGACTCCTTAGAGAAGCCTGGGCATTGAGGCTCCAGGTCCTCCATAACACAGGTCCCACTAACCCCAGCTCTGGGGGAACCAACCCTCCATGCTCTGGAAGGATATGTCCCTGGGGTTTCCTTCAACGTGTTCAGAAACCCAATCTTCAGAGATTCTGGCAACACAAAGACAGATGTTGTCTCAGGAACATCACACTGAGTCCGGTTCCCTTTCCCACTCCACCACTCCAGGATTCCCACCACCCCGCATCTCCCCCCTCCCTGAACCACCCACCTCTCCGCAGCCAGACTCACTCAGTGCTACGTAGACTATATTAAAGGTGAAGATGTAGATGGTGAGGAGTGAGAGCGAGAGGATGAAGAGGTAGAAGTAGCGGTAGTTCCTCTTCCCCACGCAGTTGCCCACCCAGGGGCAGTGATGGTCGAAGCGCTCTGTGAAAGCCAAGACGGGATCAGCAGGGCCCTGCCTGACCCCAGCCACACTGTCCCAGACTCAAATACATCCAAGGATAACAGGGCTCCCTGGGCATAGAGGGCAGCCCTGCTAACGCAGGGCCTGTACCATGGCCTCCTTCCAGCAGGGGAAGGTAAGAAAGGGCAGAATTGCTTACTAATGAGTGGGTTTGCATAGAACAGTTGAGTTTAAGAGCCTGGCCCTATATGCGCCTTCTCTCCCAGAGACCTGAGGTGTAACAGTTTTTACCAAGGCAGCACACATGTTAGGTGAAGGCCTGGGGCTTCAGAAGTTCTTGTCTAACCCGTAAGCCACTTTACTTCAATAATTAGAAACAGGTTGAAGGAGCTGCATAAACTCTCACAGGGCTGGGATCCTGCAGAGGAGGAAAGGGATGCAACAAGGGATTTCTTCCTCAAGAAGGGATGCTGAACACCAGCCTATCACGGTAGCAAAGAGCTGAGAGAGCATCTGCTCTGCAGCTAGGGGAACAAAGCCCAAGGGCACTCCATGTAATGGTGGAATCTCCTTGCTGATGCGAGGAGCTGCCTTCACACAAGACACAGCTCTGCTAGAACCCTCCAGCCCAGCAAGGCCAGAGAAACTCAGCAGTGGACTGCACCTGCAAGCTGCTCAATCTGGCTTATGTTAGACCAGGTATTGCCAAAGCAGTACCGGCAAAGATGAACCATCTGGCTTCAGGCTCTGAACGCATCTCGAGCCCCTTGTGCCGCAGATGAGGCAGCCTGTCCCGCTCTGTCCACACTCCACCACCCTGGAGTTGCTCAGCAGGAGCAGAGGTGGGTGCAGATGTTCCCCTCCCTCCTCTACAGGCTGTCCCTGTCCCCTCTCAGGCCTGCACTCACCCACACAGTTGTCACAGATGCTGCAGTGCGAGGCCCGGGGCGGACGGAAGATCTTGCACGTGTAGCAGTACTTCAGCTTCACAATCTGGTTGTTGATCTGGAAGTTCTTGATGCGCGGGGGTGGGCGCTGGCCCTGTGGCACCGTCCCGTTGGTGGCCTCTGAGAGAGGATGGAGCAGAGATCAGACCTGCTGCCACGACACGACAGGCCAAGGACAACAGCTCGCCTCCTGCTTCTCCTACCAGTGGGATCAGAGCCTGCTCGTTCCGGAGCCAGTGGCTGCAGCCCTGCTCACACAGCCCAGAGCCAAACTGGCAGCCTGGAGGCAGGAAAAGTGATGCCAAAGCCTCCACGGGCATATTTAGGGGGGCTGGAAGTGTGCTGCCTGCATCAACCAAACCTCCTCTCTACCTGAAGGACCAAGGGGCCCACACTGAGCTCCTGCACCCCTTCCCAAGCAAACTGAGCTCATGTATAGGAAACAGCAGTAAAGATGTCCCCGGAGAGGGAAGCGGGTACATTGCACCATCCTTTGAGCCTCAGCCAAGCAGACCCAGCCCCAGGCACACCCCAGCCGGGCAGAAGGGCTCTGCAGAGGGCAGCCGCACTCACCGATCTCCATCTCGATGAAGGCTGCCTCATCCGGCAGCGCCCTGGGGATCACGCCAGGGTCGCTGAAGCTGGTTCGCAGGAGCGTGGCCATGGCGAAGAGGAAGAGAACTGCTGCAAACACGGGGATGGCTGGGGACAGCTGCACTGCCAGGTACCGGCACCTGCGGGGACACGCGGCGGTGGGAGCCGCACCGTGAGCAGCTCTGCCTGGGCCAGGCCTGCGGCTGGCACCGAGTTCGAGCCCAGGCTTTCCCACGTGATGTTAGCAAGGGGAAGCTGTCCAGCACTTCCTTCTGGTCCCACCACCACAGGGAATCACCCCTGGAGTGGCTCCAACAGCCAGCCGCAATCTAAGTGCCACCATGCCTTTAGCCAGCCAGGCCCACAACTCTTCCCAGCGTTTTGGTTTGTTCCCAGCTCCCGTTTTGCTCAATCATGGATGATGGCAGGAACACAACCACCAGCAAGAGGGATCTTGCCTGGAGGACACTAGCTGAGGGATGGACCCTTCCTGCCCCCTGGAGAAGCACCCAAGGCCTGGTTTGAGAGCCCCACCACTGGAGAAAGCAAAAGGCACGGAAGCACACTGGAAGAGTAGGGATCTCTGGCTGTCCTCTACATGGGCACAGACTCTAGTACCACAGAGATTACTTGCTGGGGATTAACCACGTCCTGTGCTTCCCAGGAAGAGATTTCCCTGGAAGTGCAACATTCCCCTGCAACATGAGGCCTGCCTTCCTCCGACTTCCCTGAGGCAAAGGACTTGACAGCTCCACATAAAGCAGGCAGGCTCCCTCCCTAGGGCAGCCCCAGCTCAGGCAAGGACACACAGCCTAAGGTTTACCAGCACAGAGAGGTCCTGTGAGGAGTTCCCAGTGCTAATCCCACTGATGGGCAGTGCAAAGGGAGCAGACCTGTCTCCCTGTGGCCCCTGTCCCTTCTGCACACTACAGGCACATGTCCTGGGCACTGTAGCACAGGCCGTGCTGAAGCCATGGTTCACAGGGATGAAAGGAAACATGTTTTTGCCCCTATTCCTTCAGAAAACCCCATTTATGTGGGGGTGAAGTTCCTACAGAGCTTTCTTATGGAAAGCCTGCCCAAACCTCAGCACAGAGCACAGCCTCCCCTCTCCCTGCACTGTGCTTTCTCAGGCTCCTCATGGAGCTCGGCACCCAGGCTTTCTAGTAAGCCCTGGCACCACAGGCTTGGATCCAACACAGGCTCCTGGTCTCCAAGAAAGCAGGAGTCAGACTCCTGTGGTGAAAGGCTGGGGATTATCCCCCGCAGCGGGTCTGTCATCCTGAGCAAGGCAATCCCCAACATCCACAGCATTAACCGCTGAGCTCTGCGTAGCCTTCCCCCCCGCAGCTGCTCCAAACACAACTCGTTCTCTGGCTCCCCTGGCTCCTTTGGAAGCCCACCACATGCTGCAGGGAGCCACCCAGGCTCTCATTTACCATTCCTTGGCTGCAGCAACCATGCCCCAGCATGAGGAGGGGCAGAGGGGGCTGTGCACTGGAGCCACAGGATGCTCTGGCCACAGCCGCAGCCACATGTGGGGCCTGGCCCCTAAACCAGCAGGGTTAACTTCAGGCACCACAACCTCTGCGGCTACTGGCAGCAACACAGTCCCCAGGGGTGTCCCCGTGCGCAGTCCTGCCTTCAGGTGTGTGGGCAGCAGGAGGCCTGAGGCAGCCTGAGATTGCTTTCCCTCTGCAAAGGCAAAGTCTAGGAAGAGCTGGGAGTCAGAAACCCTGGATCCCATCTGGGGAAGGAATATGGGATTATTCCTCTGGACAGGCTCTGCCCCAAAGGGCTGCAGCCCGACCATTGTCCAGCTGACATGAAAGCTTTTGTCGCTGTCCTCACAACTTGAACAACGTGTTAGAGTCTTAAAACCTGGTTCTGTGAGCTGTGAGAGCTGCACCAGAGCTCCCAGCCCTGGCTGCGCACCGACACCTTTTAAGTTTCCTCAGTGAACTGTCAGCAAGGAGATTTATTACCTGCAGCACGTGCTACGCAGAGGCACTGGCGATACATGGGATCAGCCCCTGCAGCAACCCCGCTCAGCCTGGGTGTGAGCAGCAGCGTGGGGCATGAGTCACTCCCACTGACTGGAAACCTGCCCTTCGGGAATGCAGCAGGTCCTGCTGCCCCTGAGGAGCAGCAACAGCGGCCTCAGGATTGATGTTACCACATAGCAGAGCGTGAGGTGGCAGGGGGAAGCATTCAGATGAGATGAGTGCACAACTGTGCTCCCCGCTGTGGCTCCGGAAGCAGCACCAGCCAGCCAGGAGAGCAGGAAGGTGATAGGGAAAAGATCCCCCGAAACTCACACAGGAGGTAATGATGGCAGCTCCTTCAGCTGCCATTCACTGAGGAGCATGAGATGTTTGCACAAGGAACCCACTCTTGTCCTGTTGCCAGGATGCCCTGTCCAGGCACTGTGCTGGATGCTCAGCCCATCACTCAGCAGTGCCATGGCACCGCAGAGCTGAGCAGGGCCCTCCTGCTTCCCTGGCGAGTAGGGCTGGTAGCACTGCTGCATCCTCTGCACAGGAACACAGCCTGGAGGTGAGGGTGAGACACTCACCGCACCAACACTGCACCTCGAGCCCCAGCCCCAGCCTCCCATCCTTCCCTGTGCCAACAGAGCCTTGCTTTTAGGAAGGTGCTGTTCAGGGGACGTGCCTGGTCTGTCTGCCACAGCAAAGAAAGCCAAGCGCTGTCCTGAACAGCTGAGCAACAGGTAAGGCCACCACGTGAGGCTGTCACTTGGCACTCACTGGTGCTGGGAGATCGTCACCCTGTGTCTCATCTACAGCACGATTACACTCAGCAATTCATTCCCAGTGCTGACAGCCATGTTAGAGATCCCTTGTTTGGGAAAGCTGAGGGCCAACACAGGCATACTGTTGCATGTAAGGCTCTTGCTGCTGCTCCGCTCCCAGTGCGGTGCCTGTGCTCCTGAGCATTCTGTCATCTCGGAGCAGACAATAACAGCACTATCACACTGCCCATTACAGGGGCCTGGGGGTGAGAAAGGCTTAAACAGAGAGAGCATTAGAATGAGAGAGGGGAGCAGCAGCAGCAGCTGGGGGGTGCCACAAGTGCAAGGACTGTGTGACTGAGCTCTTTGCCATCACTCAGGAAGCTCTGTTGTAACTGGCCCATTAAGCAAAGCTCTGGAGGAAGGGGAAGCAAACAGAGCAGCCCCGGTGGACACGGACATCAGCCATGGGCACAGGACAGCACATTTCAGGCCAGGTCCTCCCGGGGCTCAGCACAAGCTCTCCTGTATTCATCCACATCTCACTTGCAATCACCTATTGGGACTTCCTGAACCACCACATTGTGCACTCATCCCGAACACCAGTGAAGTACAGGAGTATCTGTAGCAAACGTTTGACCCTCACCAGAGCACTCGCAGTCATCTGCACCTCCCAGGCCTGGGATGGTTTCCAGGAGCTGATGTACTTGCAGTAAGCCTGGAAACCATTGCTCCAAAAGCCAGGGAAGTGCTGCACTGCAATGCTGGAGCCCAGGGACCTGCCCCGAGCAGCACAGGAGCTGGCTACAGCAACACTCTTGGCTGGAACAGCAACACAGAAAACCCTCACCTCAGACCCTCTTCAAGGGCAGTTCCACCGGGAGTATGTGCCACCAACACAGCAACCACCTTGAGGCAGGAGATGGAAAAGTTCTGCTAATGCCACTGCTCTTTTTCTGGCTGCAGGTGAGGGAACACCCCAAGATCACACTGGCAATGAGAGGTGGTGCTCCAGAGGACGTGTACACCACAGGGAGAGGTAAGTTGACTCCTGGAAAGGAGCCCATGTATGAGAAACAGGGCATGCCATTCTAAACACACCTCAAGCAGAACCATGCCTTCAGGAGCAAAGCAAGCTGAACTCTGAGGTTCACCTCTACCAAGAGGCTACAACTGCCAAAAAGCACAGACTGACTTGGGTGCAAGCTTTGACAGGGCTTGACATTGACCTAAGCAGAGGTAAAAGCCATTTTGAAAGCATCTTTATCAGTGTAAAATCTGGGGTCTTTGGGGTTTGGAGGGAGAAACCCAAGAATTAAGTCACATAAAGGGTCAGCACAGGTTATTTCAACTCATCAGAAACCAATGAAATTCTAATCTGTACATAGCTAGGAAAGTAGAAAACAATAACATGATACAGAGGCCGTCACTGGAGAGTGAGGAGCCCCTTCCCCTCCCTGCAGGACCCCGGCGCTGCCAACACCGGGGCGTTTACCAGCAGCAGGAGCTGCGGTTCTGCAGCCGCTGCCGCGCTGAGCAACAACTTCAGAAGGGCCCTTCCAGCCACGCTGGCAAACTGCAGAGAGGAGATCCCAGCAGCCAGAGAGAGGCTGCACATCCCATCATGCCAGTTCCCAAAGGGGCTTCACCAGCGCTTTACCTGGGCTTCTCCTCGTGCTCCAACACCACAAGCAGAGTTAGACAACTACGCGCCCTGTTGCAAAGGCTGATGTGCCCATTAAGAGTCTGAAAGAGTGCCAAGAGGATATTAAACGAGTTTTATGTGACACGTTACGGATATGGAGCAGACCCAATTAAACACAGGGCTCGGACACTGCAGGGACCAGCCTCAGCCCTGGAGCAGGAGGAGCTGCTTTCTGCCAAGGTGCTGGTGAGAGGTGCCCTTGGGCAGAGGACTCCAGTCGCTGCAGAGCCCTTCCCGGGAGCCAGCACAGCTCCACAGCCCTCTGCTTTATCTGGGAGAGAGGGAGGAGCTGGAGCTCCAGGTACAGCACTGATAGTGCAGGCAGCCCTCTGGGTCTTTTTGCTCCCAGCTGGAAACTTTCCCCATTCCAGCGCACAGCTCTGGAGTCTAGGGGATAAAAACACACAAACTCCTGCCCACGGGGCTGAGGTGGCTTCAGACCGCTTTATTGGAGAGGAACCGATGTGCAGGGGACTCAAAACACAAACACCATGAGCACAGCTCAAACGGAGCGGCTGCCGCGGGCTCGGCTTATCTGGTGACGTGTGGTGCTGGTCCCCGCCGGCTCTCCTGCACCAGGCACCGCACTCTGTACCTGTCACCACACACTGCACCGCGCACCAGAGCCAGCCCGGCAGCCTGGAGGGCACTGCTCTCAGCCAGAGGCACTTGCTGGCTTCAGGCATCCCCGGCCCTGCTCACACAAGGTGTGACTGCGCAAAGTGATTCAGCTGAATGAAACGGGAGCCCACAGCACAGGCTCCCTGCAGCCAGCACACAGGACAGCAGCGAGTCTGCTGCTCTCCACAGAGCCCAGCAGCTCCAACCGTTCCTCTGCAGCACAGACTTTAAGGAGAAAAGCATGACATTCCATGCAAGCTCCAAAGGACCTGCCAAAAGCTGAAATGAATGGACAACACAGAAGGTCAAGGCCAAGCACTCCAATGCACACAGAAGGGCAGCTGCTCATCACCTCAGCTGGGTCTGTGAAACAGAGCAGGGTATCTGGCTGGCAACGGAATGGTTCATTCCTATCCCAAATTCAGAAATCCCAAACAAACAGTTTCAAAACAAACATGCCTCTTTCAGACAGAAAACATTAACATGTTGAGCGATGAGAGAATCAAATGGATATTCTGGATTCTCCCAAACTTTTCCTAATTGAAAGCCACTAAGCCAATTTAACCACAGTTCAGAGGGAATTCTGCTCCCAGCAAAACTGCCGCCAGGCTGGTGACCCCACAGAGACCGTCCCCCGGCTCGACCCAGAGGCATATCCCGGGGTCTCACTGGAAGCAGGGACATGAGTGACCCCTCCATGGGCCTCTGCCTGCAGAGCAGCACGGGAAGAGGCTTCCCAAGGAATTCCCAGTCATGTACCTGCAGTACCCCCAGCACCGCTGCCTCTGCCAGCACAGCCTGGGACTGTAAAAGCAGCAGGGAGTGGGCTGTGGCTTCTCTTTTCTGCTCAGGACAGGCTCCACAGGGAGCAAGAGCAATTATCCCTCATGGTAAGTGTTTCTGGAGCAGAGACACGTTTTTCTAGAGCAGTGACACTACCAGCCCTCCCTGAAGGCACCAAGTCTGAGCCCCATTTCTGAGATGGGGAAAAAGCAAACAACAAAACAAGCAGCAGTGTCATCTCATACCTTTGGCTTCAGACTGAGTCAGGGATAATTTGAGCTTCCTGTGCTCGAGAACCACAACACCTCATGTTACACCTGTGCAGCACCTGCCTTCACTGCTGCACCACCACCAAGCAGAGAAATCAGCTCTGTTGCTGACCTGGGCATGGTGTTTGCTGCTGCACTGCTGCCACTGGGACATGGTAAACCTCAACAGACTGTTCCAGAAAGCTCTTTCCAAGGATGGTGGCAATATCCACTAAGGAGAGGAGTGAGGGACAGCAAGGCCAGGCCACAGGGAGCTGGGACAAGGTCCCTATTCTGGGGAAGATGCCCAGGAAGCCAGTGCCTGGGCCCAGAGTTTTAGGTATGTGGAGCAATAGCCAGGACTTAATCAGTGGGAGCAGTTTCTTCCGCTTGCTTGTCGTGGCTTAAGTGGCTTTTGTGTTACCCAACACCAGCCAAGACCTTTGCCTCCCTAAGAACAACATAAACATGCTGATGGAGACAGAGAAAGGAACATTTCACAGTTGTGTGGCTGATCCAAGCTCACCCTCAACCCAGGCAAACAGAGCAGTCCTGCTCCCCACCATCACCCCACCGCCAGAGCTCAGGCAAATGCAAGTGAGCTTTTCTTCCCTTTCTGCTTGTTGTTTTGTCAGGATTAGTCTGAGGCCAGGTCAGTCCCAGCTGAGCTCACAGGGCTGTGGTGAGACGGGGCCAGTCCCTGCTCTTTGGCAGGACACACAACTTGCTGCAGGCCTTTAGGCTGCTGTGCTGATCTAAGAGGGTGGCCGGATTACCCCTAGGGCTTCAGCTCACGGAGGGTCTGCTGTAGCACAGCACCACAACACAATACAGACAGCTGAAGGGTGAAGCTGATCTGTGCTAGGGACCAGTGCCACCAGGCTCATGCACTTTTGGTTAGCTCTCCAGCCAGGTCACTCCCCTCACTGGGCTAAGCAGGGCTGTACCCAGGCCCAGGGTGCATGGGAGCAGGCTCACGCTGGCCTCTGGTGCTGCAGCTGCAATGCCCTTGCACCCAGGCAAGGCGCACGCACCCCACTCCCCATCCCCACTGGCGGTGCTCCGGACACGGGATGGCAAGTCCCAAAGCACAGGGAAGCACAAGCAGGGGGGTGAAGGGCCAGTGTCGTGCTGCAGAGCGAGTTCTGCCAGGGCCCAGCATCCCCAGAGCTCCAGGTCACTGTGTGAGAGGCAGATCCAGCCTGGGAGAGCCGCACCGCGCCGGGCTCCGCGCCGCCTCGCTCTACCCCCACGCCCCCCCGCTCCCGAGGCCACCGGCGGCCACCGAACCCACCCTGACCCAGGGAGCCACCGGGCGGCTGCGGGGAACTCACTCAAAGGCGAAGAAGAGGGCGCAGGTGCCGAGAATGAGGAAGAGCGTCAGGTAGAAAATGCCCTTCTGCCGGGCCATCATGATGCGGCCGTCGCAGCAGAAGGTGTTCCTGCCCGGCAGCTTCTCCCATTTCCGAACCACCTTCTTCCTCGCCACCATCACCGACATGGCGGGGCCGTCACTGGGGCGGCGGCGGCCGCCACAACTCCGGGTCCGAGCGCTGCTGCTCCGCCGCCCGCGCCCCCGGCATCATCGGGGGCCCCGCGGGGCTGCGCTGGGCGCTGCGGGGAGAGGAGAGCGCCTCAGCACCGGGGCGGCAGCGGGGGGCGGCGGCCGTCGCTATGGAAACCCCCGCGCCCCGGGAGGGGCGTCGTCATGGAAACCCACCGGGAAGGGAGGGGGAGCGGTCAGGGCGCGGCCGTGGAAGGCCTCGGCCCCGACAGAAGCGCCCCGTAGGGGGGAACGGCGGGGCGGCCCCGCACCGGCCGCACCGGGAGGGGAGGGGAGGGGACGGGACGGGGCTGGGCTAGGCTGGGCAAGCAGCGCCCAACCCGCGGCGACGCCGGAGTCCGGGCTTGTGGGGGAATAGGAAGGGAAGGAAGGGGAAGATAGGGCCCCGCCACCGCTCACCCTGTGCCGGTGCGGGCAGCGCCGCGCGGGCCGGGCCGGGCCGTTCGCTCCCTCAGCGCCGCGGGAGGGGCCGCCACGCCTCGCGCCGCTGCGGGGGCGGGGCCGCGCCGCCCATTGGCCTGTCCGCGCCATCCTTCCCGCCCCTTCACTCCCATTGGCTGAGCCAAACGTCACTCCGCGGCCGCTCCCCTCCGCCCCGCCCCGGTGCGGACAAGGGGAGGCGGGGCCGGGGGCAGGGCCGGGCACGTGGCCGGGGGCGGGGCCTGCGGTAGCGGGCGCGGCGGGGCGGCACAGACGGGGCGGGCGTGTCACGTCGTGTCATGTCGTGCCCCGTCCCTCCCGCGTGTCGCTGCCGCGGCCCCACTTTTCCGCCGTGCTGCCTGGGGGTTTGCCGGTGAGAGCAGGGAGCGGTGTCCCGAAGTGGGGGGCATGGTCCTCCCGCGGCTGTTGCCATGAGGACAGGGCCGGGCCGTCTCGGTGCTGAGCCCGAGCCCGGGCCCGACCCCTGAAAACCCCGAGAACCGCGGAGCCGGCCAGTCACGCCCACCCTCGGCCCCGCTGTCACGGTAACCGTGACGTCAGAGCCGCCCGGCGGGCGGAAGCGCGGCGGGTTGCGGCAGGCCGGGCGGAAGTGGTGCGCTTTCCGGCAGGTCGTGCTGGGAGTAGTACCACGCGGAGCCGTGCTTTGCGGCTAGCGTAGTGTAGCGTGGCGTGCGGTGAGATGTCGGAGGAGTGGCTCGGGACGGAGGCGGCCGGGAGCGAGAACGAAGATGAAGATGAGGATGAGGTGAGGGCAGGGCAGGGAGAAGCCCGGGTGAGGCGAGGCCTCGGGGATGGGTCCCCTCGCTGCGGCAGAGGGCGCAGGCCGGGGCTCGGCCCTCGGCCGGGGGCTGGCGGGACACCAGCGAGCGGGCGCCGCTCCCGGCAGCGCCTGCTGGGCCTCCAGATGGAGCTGGGCCGGGGTCTGTAACTGTGTCTGCCTCGTGGCAGCGGCAGGAGGACGGCGAGCGGCGGCACCGGCAGCTCCTGGAGGCGGTCAGCTCCTTGTCCGGACGGAAACGGTGAGTGGTGGAGTCCGGGGCGCTGCTGTGGCTTGGCCCTGGGGGTCTGGCAGCAGCCACGTTCCCTCGCCGTGGGCCCTGTGAGGCTGCGCAGGGAAGCTCTGGAGAAGAGGCTCAGCTCCTGTGGGAGGGAGAAGCACTCGGGGGGTCGTGGGGAGCCCTTTGGTTGATTTGTGCTCCCGTGTCACAGGCGGAGGCTGGCAGAGCGCACGGAGGCCAGTGTGCAGGTGTCCGAGTTCAATGTCAGCACCAAAGGTGAGACCCGTGGGGGCTGAGGTTGGCTGCAGCCACCCTGATTTTCTGGCTGAATGCAGCTGCAGCCCCTCGGGTCAGCAGTGCTGTACCTGAGCTGACGTGTGGGACCTCATGCAGGGGCTGGGGAGAAGCTGGTTCTGTCAGAGCTCCTGCAGCCCATCCGCCCCAAATCCGCCCTGAGCAGCGTGAAGAATGAGCTGACCCGAGTGAAGCAGAAGGCAGCAGTGGAGCTGCCGCTCAGTAAGGAGGAGGCCAAGCGGGTGAGTGGGCCCTTGGGTTCCCTCTGCTACTCTCTGATGCCACCAGGCTCTTGTTTTTCGCCTCAGCCCTCCTTTGCTCACCTGCTTCCCTTCCCGCCCATCTGCAGGTCGTGAGGGAAGCTGCCTACCTCACAACTTCCAAAGATGTGGGCAAGTGGCAGCAGATTGTGCTGCAGAACCGGCGCGCCGAGCAGCTGGTGTTCCCACTCAAGCAGGACATTGCCGCAGTCGTGCCCCTGGAGCAGGCGACTTCAGCCTGGAAGGTGAGTGCTGCTGTGTGTCATGCAGCTCCTGGCTGTGTGAGGAGGAGTGAGGCAGGCATGGGGAAGGCCCAGTGTGTCACTGAGGCTCTGGGCAGGCGTGGGCTGAGGTGGGAAAGATTCACATGGAAGTATTCCACCTTCCTCATGCACAGCTGAGCCTCTGGGAGGGGTTGGCTAAGGCACAAGCAAAAGGTTTTGGGTGTGCTCTGTCCCCTCTCAGCCTTTCAGCTTGAGTCACGCTTGCTGAGTGCAGGTTTTTGGTCCCTGTGCTGAACCATGTGTCTGCTTGTAGCCCTTGGCCTCGTGTGCTGAGGTAGACGGGGTCCAGTTTGGCAAACCCTGGACCTCATTACTGTAAATTCTGTAAAATTATAAAACGATGATGTTTTTGATTTGGAGCACTAATTCCCATGAGGGTTGTGCTGCTGGCAGGTGAGTCACTGCCCTCCCCGAGAGCTCTCCCAGCTGTACAGATGCTCTGGTGAGAGGCAGCCGCTGCCGAGTTCCAGCCAACTCGCCTCAACCTACCCAAAGGTCCCTTTCTGTTTTGGCAGGACATGATGTTGTGTGGCCAGGGAAACTGCTCTGTGCTTCATGCCTAGAGCTACCCGGCCAGTGCTGCCTGCCTGTTGTGAGCCTCCTCCTCTCCCTGGGAGGAGTTCTGCCCTCCCCGGGGCAAGCCAGGGGCTGCTGCCTTTGACCCTGCTCGGGGCCCTGACCTCAGCCCCAGGAGGAGGGGCCACACTTCTCTGGGCCCTCCTATGGACCTGCTCAGGGACACCAGGACAGGCACATCCAGAGGAGCATTGCCTCTCGTGATTCTTCTCATCACCATCATCTTGCTGGGTCTGCTCTGTTCCAACAGGCCCGAACTCCCCTGGAGCAGGAGATCTTTGGGCTGCTCCACAGGACGAAGCAGCCCATCACAGATCCGCTCCTGACGCCAGAGGAGGCAGCCTCGTTGCAGGCAATGACCTTGGAGGAGGTGGGTTCCCCCCCTGCTGTGCCCTGGCTCTTGAGGCCTCTTCCCTGATGCCTGCCCTCACCCTGTGCTCTCTGGCAGGCCCGGCAGCGGCGGGCAGAGCTGCAGAAGGCTCGGGCCGTGCAGTCCTACTACGAAGCCAAGGCTCGTCGGGAGAAGAAGATCAAGAGCAAGAAGTAAGATCCCTTGGAGAGGGCTGAGTCTGCCCGGTGTGGGGGTATGGCCAAAACACGGGGTCCCCAGGGCCTCCCTGGCACCTGAGGCCTCACTGCCTCTGTGCTCAGGTACCATCGCATGCTGAAGAAAAGCAAGAGGCGCAAGGCCTTAAAGGAGTTTGAGCTGCTGCAGAAGTCAGACCCTGAGGCTGCTTTGGCAAGGCTGCAGGAGCTGGAGCGGCTCAGGATGCAGGTGCTGCTTTTGTGCTTGTTCCCCACCGCATGGGACCTCCCCGCTCATGAGGGTGCTTGTTCTGATGCTTCTCTCTTGTTTGTCCCCCCAGGAGCGAATGAGCCTTAAGCACCAGAACAAGGGAAAGTGGGCCCGCTCCAGGGCCATTATAGCCAAGTATGACCTAGAGGTGAGATCACAGAACCACAGAAGGGTTTGGGTTGGAAGGGACCTTAAAGCTCATCCAGTTCCAACCCCCTGCCAGACACGTTCCACTAGAGTTCCAAGCCCCATCCCACCTGGCCTTGAGCACTGCCAGGGATGGGGCAGGCACAGCTTCTCTGGGCACCCTGTGCCAGTGCCTCAGCACCCTCATCATACAATTTGTTTCTACTTTCTTCTTTGTATCTAACCTAAATCTGGCCTCTTCTAATTTAAAGCAGTTGCCCCTTGTCCTGTCCCTGTAGATCTTGGTATAAAGCCTCTTCCTTATAAACCACCATTACACATTGAAAGGCCACAGCAACGTTTCCAGTGTTGGTTTGGGGAAGGGGGAGGCAGCTGAGGTGGGGCGGGTGTGTTGTTTGTGCCCTGCCTCAGAAACCTCTCAATCCCCTCCCAGGCTCGCAAGGCCATGCAGGAGCAGCTGGCCAAGAACAAGGAGCTGATGCAGAAGGTGCGTGTGGAGCTGCCTGAGGAGAAGCCAGATGACGTGCCTGAGGAGGACCCCACGTTGGTGACCGTTCCCACCATCCCCACTGGTGCCAGCAGAGCAAATCCCTGGCTGTTGGGCAAACCCAGCAGCCCAGCCAAGGAGCCAGAGGCACAGGAGGGTCAGGGGGACGTATTAGAGCCTGGTGCTGCGGAGAGCAAGGAGGAGATGGAGGAGGAGGAAGAGGAGATGTCAGAGGAAGAAGCTCTGCTACAGGACTTTGCGCAGAAGCGGCACAGGCGGCAGCAGCAGGCAGGGAGCCCTGCAGGACAAGGTGAGGAGCTTGCAGCCCCAGGCAGGGAGGGACTGGTGTGCTGCTTCAGGGCTGGGCAAGGGAAAGAGGGGTGCCAGGGCTGTTTTCTGCCTGGTTCATTCTCCTGTTTCCTCCTCGTGGGTGACTGTTTCTCACCTGTTGCCTCGATGTGCAGATGCTGATGTGACAGAGGCGGTTTCTGAACCTCCGGGGGACATTCCCATCCCCCTCATCTGCACAGAGGCAGAGGTGAGTGCAGGGATCGAGCTGCCCACTGATGCCCAGGAGGAAGTTCTGCTCTCGCAGCAGCTGGCTCGAGCACGAACAATGGAGGATGTTGAGGCTCTGGCCTCAGAGGAGCGTGTGGAGGAGCCGGCAGCTGGAGGAGGAGAGATGGGAGCGCAGCAGCCGGTGGTCGCAGGAGCAAAGGCGAGAGCGTGGCAGCAAGCGACTGCAGGAGCAGGGGCAGGAGTACAGCAGCCGGTGGCGGCAGCATCAGAGGCAAGAGAGCGGCAGCCAGTGGCCACAGGAGCAGGAGCACGAGCACGGCAGCCAGAGGCTGCGGGAGCAGAGATGGGAGCACAGCGGCAGCCGGAGGAGGGCAGAGCTGGGGCCAGGCCTGCCAGGAAGGCAGCATCCCAGAAGCAGCTGATCAGCCTGCAGGCAGTGCTGGAGGGGCGGGCACAGGAGGTTCAGTGCCCCAGCCTGCCCATGCTGCTGGAGGAGGAGGTGAGCGGGACACACCAGCCCCTTGTCCTGCAGCCAGGCTAGCTGCAGGGGCTGACCCTGCTCTCCACAGGAGGGAGGCATCGACCAGCGCGGGGTGATCACGGAGGCCTTTGCCGGGGATGACGTGGTCGCTGACTTCCGCCGGGAGAAGCTCAAGGCGGAGCAGGATGCGAAGCCACAGCCGGTGAACCTGGTGCTGCCTGGCTGGGGCGAGTGGGGGGGCTCGGGCCTGAA